CTGTTAAACATGAATTATATGCATGATATCTATTTGTAGAAATTAATAAAAGTGCAACATCATGTCATAACTGTAGTCCGGTTTTTACGCGTTGGCCATACCGGTTTCCGGGTTTGTTCATGACAATGCCATGTTTTACCGATGCCTGAAAAATGTACCACTGACAAATGTCACAATTGACGTACATCCACCCGCCAGCACACGGGAGACACACTTGAAGATGTACATATCAAGTTTTGCTTCATGTCTGTAACGTTACACGTATTGTGTTTCTCCATAAAGTTTGGTTAAACTGAAAGACAAAGATATACATATGTGCAGTTTATTAATGACTTGACATTGCATGTTTAACAGACAGAGACACAGGTGTAGTGTGTGTGATGGTGTTCTTTTGCTTTCTTTTCGTACAGGTGGGGCTGAAGGACTCAACTCTGTAGCATCACAGCTTCACATGTGTAGCTGTGTGTTGCTCTCCCGTCCCAGTCAGCAGCACGTTACTGCCAGTGGTCCCAGTACTCAGCCAGTACGGAAGTGTGTGTACTGGTGGTCCCGTTAGCTGTTAGCCAAACACATTGTCCAAAACAATACATGTAAGCTAAGATAACAACGAGTGATATATGCAACTAATTGGATGTAAAGCGTCATCAAACGCACACAATACAATGTGATACAATGAGATTAGGAGATTTTGTAGATGAGATTTTTATGAAATTTGGTTTGTTTTAAACATGACAGTTTCAACATGACACTGAGTACGTTTTGGAATTAAAAGCAAAAAATGTAAAACTTAATTATAATGAACATGAGATGATCATTGGCTTCCTCCCATCGTGTTGATAAGACATACTGAAAACTGTTTTTATTCAATTATTTTCATTTATTTTATTTTTTCAAACCAAGGGATGCAAGAGATTTCCTCATTGGAGCATGAATACATCATGAAATCTACATGTTCATTTCCAAGTAGGCTACAAAACACGTCAACTAAATCGTAAATGTTGACATTTTGCTCATTGCGCTAATGCCTGGTTCCATCTTCTCCATGGCTGGAGAAATCACACTTTTCAAACAAATGAAAAACTGCCTGATGGAAAAATCAAAAATACATTTAATGATACGCGCAATCTGCCACAGTACTATATGCCTGCCGTGCACGCACCGGAAATCATATACGCACAGCTGCAGAAGTATAAATCGGGCAAAAGTGTGAAGTGAAGCTTTGACTTTTGCAGGGATCTTTTTACAGGTAAACTTTTGTTTTACAGATGCGACAACATTTAAGAGGGCATCCGAGAGAATGTAGAAATCGACATGTCTGGCGCTTTCAAGCATCTAGGCCCCAGCCAGAACCGGTGTCCCCTCATACATACAATGTCAATTGTCTATCTGTTATCTTTATTACTCTCTGCTATCATACTCAATGATATTATCACTGGCATCCAGCGTTCCTCAGGGGGCCTTTTTGCAATGCTTCCATCCACCACAGATGTAGTATATAAATATGACTACGCTGTCCACCAACAACCTTTAAAGCAGGAAAGAGCTTATTAAGACTGTAACACACCGAACTGTAACTTAGTTGTATTTGGTTGACACCCAGGAAAAGGGTGTTTGCTCAGTCCTGTTATATTTGTGAATGGACTTGTTCACGGTCATTCAACGTTGGATTTATTATTTTTTGGCAGGTAACCTGACTTAATGTGACTTTATGGCAACAGCCAAAGGATTGAAACGTTCAGGGATGACAGATATGATCGTGATGTTCGACATATTATTACATAATATCCAATGTGTTGTATCAAAATATATAGAATATATTATAGAATATAGTTTTATATATCTGTTAGCCAAAGTTTTTTTTGTAATTTAATTGATATAATATTTCCGTGTTATATTTTTAATTTGCATATATTGTGTCATTTATTTCATAGCTTAAATCATTGTTTGTTGATCGTCTGATGAACGTCGATGTAGTCTAAGATGAAGCCGTCTACTAAACCTTCATTCTTCAACTTTGAAAAACTTTAATTTAAAACAAAAGCTCTGCAGACGAACAGATGTATAATATACATCTGTTGAAGATATTATCAACGTCAAATTGCTTTGTGAGATTCATACAATGCAGCCAAAAACTGAATTAATCCCACCAAGCTGTGCAGCAGAGTGTGAGATCAGCTGTGGACAGACACAGGTGCACACTCACTCACAGACATAACACACACTCAACAGATTGCATCTGGCGGGCATTACAATGATTGGACATTTCAAATTTACAAATGATACAAGCTTGCTGTGTGACCTTATTGTTTATGATATTAGCTTTGATCATGTGTATGCATAGCGTGTAGCCTACAGTTGATTGCTTTGGATTGCATCCATGAACTCTTGTAGGCCTGTATTGAGTCTGGGTAACACTGGAGCACCAGGGCGTCCGTAAAAGACATTTACTTCTGGCAACAGAACAAGTTGCGGGTTGGCCAACAAACATATGTCATCCCTGCAGCACTCTGGGGAAGGAATCTTCATGAGGTGTTTAGATGAAGTGAGGACGCCCCCTTGTGGTTTGAAGCGACCACAGCGACACCGTGAAGACACTGTATGCATTTGAAACCGTTATTTAATTAACATGCAAATCTATTTCATTACTGATAAATGTTACACCTGGAGTGAATGGAAGACTAAGAATAAAATACAATTATGAACAAAGCATTTACCTTTAAAATCAGACATTTTATTTATACAACAATTCGTTGTTAAAAATATATATATATATACATATTCTAAGCTGTGGAGCATTGCAGCTGAAATGATTAGAGCAACTGTGCAGAATAGATAATCAACATGTTTGCCTTCATTTCATGGTGTTGGTAAGTGTTGTATGATTGGATGTTAATGATATTGCAGATGCTGTAAAAGAGATTATATTCAAAAACAACAAAAAAACACCTAATAACCAGAGAGGAGTGTTAGAATGAACAATCTAAATCCACTGACGACTAGGTTTCTGATTAGAGCAATGCTGCCCTCTGCTGGGTTTGATGGCAACAACAACATGTGCAGGTTGGCTGTGTGATGTGGTTTTACAGGCATGCAGTGTGTTTGTATTCCAGTGAAGGCACGAGGGTGTGTAGCTATAGATACTACTGCTGATATGCTGAATTCAGCCAAACCAGGCTCCAAGTTCAGTAAACACTCATTGCGATAAAGATTCACAGCTCCCCTGTTGCACGAATAAAGCAACAACTCGTAACGTTTCTACACGCCAAACGAATGTTTCTGATTCAAGTATGTAGATTAAATCACAAGACATCGATTTTGACTTAGTTCAGTCAACAGAGACAAAATGTTTCAGTTGGTTTTAAAAGTATAATACTTATAAGACCTATAAATACATGAGTAGTGCTAGACTAGTGCTTACATTATTATAGTAGAGGCTGGTAAAGTGCTTGTCCAATAGTGACTTTTCTACACATCAATTTAATCACAAGGAGACTAATTTACATTGATTGTAAAAAAAACATGTTTTACCAAAAATATCATCAATTAACCAATCTAATCGGTAAAGGTATATGTACTAACGAACTATATATCTCTGAATCGTATTATTTATCTCCAATCCAATCAAGAGAGACCTGTCATTTTGACATCTTCAGGTTAATGTTTGTGTCCTTTTTAAAACTTTTGTTGTAAAATATACTTTGCCTTCCAAAACATATTTTTGGATCCTGACTCTGAGTTTATGAGATATACAGGTATATCACTGTACAGCCCCAGTCTCACACAACGTCCAAAAGTCCAGTTATAGGGGCCATCCTTACACAGCTGGGTTGCTCTAGTTAGATGAACCATCCAGTCCAAGGGAAAAGGTTACAGGTTTGATACCGTTGCATCTAAACTTAGACAGGGGACTACGTGAGAGCTGGAGAGCTTGTGCTGGAAAGGTTGTAGTATCAATCCCTACAATCACCATTGTTTTATTATCAAGTGGATGAAGTAGAAACCACCACCAGTGTCTCACCATGCAACTCCTCGGGTGGCCTTTGGATGTTTCTTGTATTGGAGTGAATGGGAAACTTCTCTATAGAAATATAAACTAGGCATATGTTTTTCAAGTCAGACGTTAAAGTCTAGATTTCACTTATTCTGATGAGTGTCTTGTTGGTCATTTTGAAATTGGTGGCCTTCCAAGAAGATATTAAGGTTAAAAGTTTCCCCAAATTTAGCTCCATCAACTGACAACAAGGGAAGAGAGCTGTAAACATTAACGGCCCATTTGAAACTCTCCCTATGAATGCATCTTAATTCATTTTTAGAATACTCGCGTGTCCTGTCACTTCCCAGCCCGCTGGTTCTCATCTCTCGAAGGGTCACCCCCAGGAAACATCTCTGGGTTCCCTGCCAGCGTGGCTCGCACTTTCTTCTTCTCCTTAAACCTCCCGGAGTGAGACACCTTGACGTGGCGCCCCTTGCTGGCCGTCGTTTTATCCATGATCCTCTCCAGTCGGGTGTCCAGCTGGGGGTCGTGCGCCACGTGCTCCGGGTGGGCGGCAGCTCCCACGGCTGTGACGGACCCATGCTGGCCCGTGGCGGCATTGGAAACAAACTCTGCGGGGATTTCATACAGGACCTTGGGCTGGGATTTTTTCCTCCTCAGGAAAGTCAGCTTCCACCAACTTGGAGACGGCTCTGCCATGATGGATGAATAGTGGGATGGATGGAGGGCTGAGGAGAGGGTTAAAACAGGTTTAAATACATAAGACATAGGCTGGGTAGAGACAAATATATACTTCTCCTTCTTGTCTTTATGTGAGTTTGTGTTATTTATGTGTTTGTTATAATGTGTGTGTGTGTGTGTGTGTGTGTGTGTGTGTGTGTGTGTGTGTGTGTGTCAGAGAACCTTCCTGTCCACCCATGACACTGTTAATTTTTCAGTGTAATTCAATAGTCTCCATATGCTGTGGATGCACACATGCTCAGGTTACAGGGTGTGTGTTGGTGTGTGTGTCACATCAGAGTGTTTGTGTGTTATAGAGAAAGAGAAACACATATGAGGCCAGGCTAATGGATATGTAGATTATGTATGTACGTAGGTGTGTGTGAGTGTGTGTGTGTGTGTGTGTTTGTTTCAGATCACATTTCACAGAGCTGATCTCTCCTGCTGTTTCCAGGGGTCATTAATAGGCGGACGGCGGTCCGAGACCCAACAGTAGGAGAATGGTGTGAGTCAGAGAAGTTATTTCACATGGCGTGAGACAAGTGGACAGCTTAACCAGAGTCTTTAACCATGAATGGACAGACTCTTGTTTGTTCAATCTTCCCACGCACAGTTGAAACCAGTATATCTCATGTGAAGCACCACTAAGAGACAAAGCACTAATCCTTTGAGCAAACGTACCGACTCGTGTAGGTTTTGCTCAAAGGATTTGTGTATATACTGTATATAAACAATCTAAGATCCCAATATCATCAGAATCCTAACACATTAATTCACTTCCCAACAATGATGTAAACAGAGAGAATAGAGCTGAAACATAACCACACATAAATCCCTGCTTTAACATCACTTCACACCTGAATAAAATACTTTATTTTAAGATGCACATTTTTCAAAAGCTTTCTGTTATGTATTATATATTTTTTAATCCAGCCCTTAATTTATTTGAAATGAGTGAAGAACATTTATTTATTATTAGAGTATTCATTATTCATAATTCATCCAGTAAAATTTGAAAACTGACAGTAAATATTGTTGAGATATTATTCAATTGAACTTCCTTTATTTCATTAGACAGTCAGTAGTTGACTACATACAGACGTTAATACAACTGTTGGCTACTTCAATATACTGTATATGGGACTAAATCAAAGCGCATGTAAAACATAACTGTGGTGTTCCGGACCTTTGCATGAGGACATTCTCTCTAACTGGACCTCGCTGAATTTTAATTTAATACCCCTGGCGTACTGTATGATTGAGACACCGTGGTCATCACTGTGCTGCTATAACAGCTTACACCTCTTCTGGTTTCGGGCTTTCCTCCAGATATGCTGCAAAGGACACATGTGATCAGTGGCGGACTGTGTTCTTCACTGGAAGGGTATCCTACAGGGAAATGCATCATTCTTCAGCTACCACAGGGGCATGTAACAGGGCATGTAGCATGTAACAGGGTAGTTTTGCCGCGGTTTATTCGAACATGTGGGCACCAAGGGGAGCGGTCACCCACAAGTGCATGTGACGTGCAATGGCAGCATTCTGCTTTTAGAGTAGTCTACTTGTTTGTCCCTGTGTTGAATAATTAAGTGACATATTAAAGTAACATGGATAATTATGTACAGACATTTAAGAGGCATCAATTTGGAACTGATTGAAAAACATGTCCTTTAAAGCAAACAGACAAAGTCTAGTTGCTTTAAATGAAGGACTCCTCCTGTGTCATGTCAAACTGGGGTTCCTTCAGAAGTCACCATGAGCTGAATTTATTACATTATGCAAAATAATGACAAATATATAATTATTTATGATATATATGTCAGATATATGTATGTTTTGTGCTGATTATCAATTGTTAGCATGCTAACATGCTAAACTAAGATGTTTACTTTGTAACTGTGAGCATATTAGCATGACGTTAGCATTAATCTCAAAGCGCCACTGGGTCTAAATGCAGCATACAGAGCCACTAACTTTGGACAGAATCACACTATATCCTCCTTGATGCTTCATGCTAAACTAAAATAATCTCCTCAGGTCTTCAGGACTTAGAGATGCAGTGTGTAGGATTTTGTGCAAAAAATTGAAATCCACTCCTTATGTAGATAAAAATAGTTCATTCTAAAAACACAATTCTTATTTTCAGGTGATTATACACTGAAGGAAACATACTAAATAATATTATGTTCAATTTATGCCAATAGATCCCCCCAAACACTACACACTGGACCTTTAAGTCTTGCCAAGAAAGCAAACAAGTGCATTTAAGTGTCAACGTAACTTGGAATAAATGGGTTGAGACCAAGATAAGAAAAGTAACAACAGACCAAAACATACCTCTCAGTATGTCCATAGCGGTGTACACATACTATACAGTGTATAAGTCCCTTACATGGATGTTTTTTTTTAACCAAACAGTGAACATAAGTAACCAACAACAAGTATAATGGAGGAAAGCAATAAAAACGATCTACCAACTCTAAGATGTGACCTCTTTTAGAAATCAACCTGGTTAACTGTTCCATTATTCAGACTTTAAAAAAGATCAACTTCAGCTAACTGTCCCAGCTGGCATGCAAACTGGCTGCAGGTCAGCTCCTGATTGCCTCCTGGCCCCTTTTCTAGCAGCTGAGCAAACAGAAACTAACCCACATTGTTTTATTGTTTCTTTTCTTCTCTCCCTTTTTCTATTTCATGAAGACGTGATACGCTCAGCTTGCTGATTATTGTTTGGCTCCCTTTGTCCTTTTTGATGTAGATTCTATACAACTTTGAAGTGACCGAGAGTATCGACTTCCTAGCCGCTCTATGTTTGACTGCCTGCCAGTGGGAGGGAGGTTGCATTTTGCTGCTTGTAGTGCAGAAAATGTATTAACAAATTTTACGCTTCAAGTCTATTTTTTCAACAATACGCACCTAAACCAGGCGGCAACCTTCGGTTCTGTATAGTGAAGCCAATGGTGAAGTGCCTTAAACCTGCATTCTCTCTAGTGTCCACCAGGGGTGTCCAACCTCTGGTTGTATAGAAGTCTATGAGAAAATGACTCTACTTCTCTCTTGATTTATTACCTCAGTAAACATTGTAAACATGAGTTTATGGTCTCAATCTCTAGTTCCAAGTCTTCTTCAATACAGCATGATGTTCATTTAGTAAATGATGGTCCATTTAGAGTCAAACAGACCATAAAGCAGGGGATGCTTTAGGGCGGGGCTACACGGTGATTGGCAGGTCACTACCTGTTTACGGCATCTCTACGTCACTCTTCCGCAGCCCAAATATGGTCACTTTGGTTCAATGGTTGCAAAAATCCATGATGGCTACCGCCGCAATCCAAGATGGCGATGGCCAAATCGCTGTACATTTACTGACATCTTCACTGCTAACCTTTCCCTCTGCTCCCATCGCCAGCAACTGTCTGCCCTGAGCACAGCCACAGTCTCTCTCGCTCAACCACACATTAGCTACACACACACGCTACCACTGCCTAATCGAGCCACAATCTATGCATTGGTGTTGATGAAAAAACAGTACTGCTGGACCTGTACAAATCAGTCAAAGAAAAACAGTTCAATCATACAGTCATAAATGAGCACAGAACATATCAGGCTGATGGGTCCAGTAGTATGCTGTATTAGCTGTGGACAGACAGACAAATGCACATGGAGAGATAATGAAATACAAAAGATTAAATATTGTTTAAATGCAACAAAATGATATGGCGGATTATTAAGATAATCCAGTAGAAAATATTACAACTACAGAAAATGATTAAAAGTGTTTTCAAAGCAAACAATCACACATTTAAATTTGTAAAGAGTCTGTGGTCACTGCGGGTACCATTGTCAGCCACTATGTTGTGGTTGGTAACACAGAGACAACACCCGTGTGTGTTTGTGTGCGTGTGTGCGTGTGTGTGTGTGAGAGAGAGAGCAAGAGAGAGAGAGAGAGAGAGATCAAACATGGGAGGGAATGTTCAAAGGTTGCCATGCCAGGCAGGTAAATGACTACTGGACCAAACGTGTTATTTAAAACTCTTCATCCATCCACTGAATTAAAATGTAAAAGAGCCAAATGTGCCCATTCACATGTTAAACATTCAGTGTGTTGTACAACAGCATTTACACTGCAAACATGCGGAGTGAGGGTCAAAGCCGTTACTGTATTCCCACTAAACAGCAAACCCCGAAAGAAGAACAAAAGTACCACAATCATCAGCAGCAGTTAGAATTATTCAGTGGCTTAGAGGTGAACGTGTGCTCGTTTGTGTTCAGTGATGAAACATTGACCAGGTTCTCCTGTCCCTAATGCAAAGGTCAGAGTTCACAGTTAGCAACTTCTTATCCTACCAAAGCCTGATGTATCCCACCTTAACATTATTTACCACTGCATTTATAATACTGATCAAATTAAAGGATTTCCCTTTAGAGAAATGATAGGTGTCAAGACAGAACCTCTAAAGTCCTGTTCATGCTCCCTGGATGATAGTCCATGTCCATGTGTCCTTGGGCAAGACACTTAAACCCAAATTGCTCCCGTAGCTGTGCCTGCGGTGTATAAATGGGATGGAATGTTAGATATTCCTGATCTTGCATGGTAGTCGCTGTCATCACTGTATGAATGGGTGTGAATGGAGGAATGAACATGTCGTGTTTCCAAAAGAAGTATTTTGTTTCTGGTGGAAACCTTGTAAATCCAAAACCTGTTACTTTTCTGTAAAAAAAAAAGGGGTTTATAAAATAACTTAACACTGCGTCGTCTTTGCATCTGGTCAGATACTCGCATGTGTCATTATATTATTCATATTTTACAAAAAATCAAGATCAAATAGAGTTGCATGGTTTTTTAACCTTGATACGTGTTTGGTCCATCATTGATTATTATTATTGATGATTGACCGGCTTGAGTTCGGTCGACCAAGTGCTTTTTCAGATAAGGCCCATTGTGAACTGGATCACGATACTTGGTCATTTTGTGTGTCCCCATAGAGTTTTGGTAAATACTGCAATATAGATCCTCAACCCACGCTGAAGAACCAACATACTACATTATTGCCACTAGTGAACCGACCATCATGGACCACTGCATCACAAAGCAATCTACCTGCTGGAGAGTAGGACCACAGCAGAGTCAAATCTGATCGTTGGAGTTGTCTGGCAACCTCTTGAAAGTCCCAAATCACCAATATCAACTCACATCAGGGATTGTACTATAAACTTGAGCACAACAGATGATTATGTAACTGTAAGGCAACCCCTCTTGTCCCAATTCATACATTGAATTTTCTTTTTTTCTTTTTTAAATTGCATGTTAGATTTGTGAAATTGAAAGCCACAGTTTGTTTTCCTCTTCCTGGGAGGCATGCTGAAATATGACTTGCTTAATAAAGTTTTTGAAGTTGTCCCAACTACGAAACTGTCGACTCATATGTGGTTCTGGTTGATCTACACAGTGGTGGGAGAGGTGCTCCAATCCTTTATTTCAGTAAAAGTATAAATACAACAATGTCAAAATACACATTTACAAGTAAATCCAACTTTAGTAAAAGTACAGCGGTATGAGCAGCAAAGTTTGCTCTGCAGATAAATAGCACCTGTGACTAATTTATTATGTTTGAAACTTTTAGATTGCTAATACTAATATGAATTTTGATCTACTCTTTGCTTGTTATGTAATATTTGCCATCTTCACCTCTTTATTTTATTATTTAAATGAAACCAGCTTGCTTGTTAGGATTATCACATTTGTCAGTCAAAGGAAGATATCCTGTTTCTAACGTTTCGAGTAAATCTCGAATCCAAATTGTGAGGATTTCATTGGAATTTACTTATTACGCCGTTTGAAATGTTACAGTGATCGACAGTGGGAATTTCCAAATGGAAAAGGTTCTTCCGGTGGAAATTTGCCTCATAAATGTCATGGGAACATGCTCGTTAGACTTTGATATTATTTTAAAGGGGATGCACAGTTCTGTATGAGATATTTGGAAACATGACCACTTGACACGTACATTTATTCAGTGGTAATTTTGCGTGACATCCTGATCTGAGAAGAAACTAGTTCAGCTGTCGGATAAAAGTAGCAGAATAGACATATAAAGTAGCATAACATGGTAACGCTGTACTTGTATTTAAGAACAGTACATCGTTATTTTCCACCTCTGGCTTTGCAATGCCATAGACTCACCTGTTTGAAATGTTTCTTTCCACCTGTGGTGGACTTCAGCAGGGTTCAGGATCAATGTCCAGACTCTTCACTCCAAAACTTGTTCAACTTCTGAATTCAGCCTTCAAACCCCCCAAAAAACGCTTCATGAAACCGCATTCAACTTCGACCGTCCTGCTGATCTCTGTTATACTTCTGTGCTTGTATGTAAAAGCAGCTCTTGGAGAGGTCTGTGCTTCTATGGGTTAATGATAAACTGTCTCGCCTTTTTAATCCCCGTGTCTTCCATAATCCATTCTTCACCCAGAACTACATTATACTAGGAATGATAAACTGCTTGGTGTTGTCATCCTGCTGCAGGGTTTAGAAGTTACACTTCAAGTGAGAGCTACAATGCCTTGTTGTCGGCAGTCCACACCACAGCATGATCCCCGTCCCTCTGGACTGGTTTGTCATTTATTCTAGTGCTCTCTAGTTTCCCGTCCACGTTCACTCCTGTCTGTCCTCTCCTAGGTGCTGAGTTACAGGTGCAGTGGTTGGCCCCTCCCTCTGACACAAAAAGACACGCAAACACAAACCTTACTATAGTTGTGAGGGCTTTGGCTCAACTCACAATATTGACTGCAATATAACCAACCAACACATGACTCCAAACAAGGACATGGTCTTATCTAAGCCTTCGGTCATGTCAACACATTAACTAGATTATCTTAATAGATGGTGTATAAGAAGTGGACCTAGTCATCCCATTGGTGTGTGTAGCCGACAGAAGCACCACCGTATGACAAATCGTTGGACTGATGCCTACAACATGTCTGCTGCAAGAAATACAGACACAATGCAGAAAAGGTCATGCCACAGACACACACTGTTTAATTATGTTAATATGCTTTAGTGGAGTACAATGTACGTTAGTGCCATGCAAGGGGATATTGCTATGGTAGAAAGATGTATGACTGTCCATGGCTTAAGTGTGCATTGATACTTGAAAATATGCATTATAATTTGTATCATATTACTATATTCATTATATAATTAAATTAGTTTATATTTACATTTGGCCTATATATATTTATTTTGTAATATTTATTTTTTTAAATAATAGCAGTGACTTTACTTCATGAAGTTTTTTCTATGTTAAAAAAAAAATGCAATTAATTAAACTGTTCGGGCCATGTTGCTGTAGCTCAGCTAGCTACACTTCTTTGAGGGCTTGCTTTAGTGTAGTGAAGCTTCATGTGATGCAGCTGGTAGCTCAGCTAGCTACACTTCTCTGCTTGCTTCAGTGTAGTGAGGCTTCATGTGATGCAGCTGGTAGCTCAGCTAGCTACACTTCTCTGCTTGCTTCAGTGTAGTGAGGCTTCATGTAATGCAGCTGGTAGCTCAGCTAGCTACACTTTCCACGTAGCTTTGCAAACACTGGCCACAAAAGTCACACGCTGTACCAGACGCAAAGCAGCATGTTTGCACAAACAAAAGGCAAAACGTTCTGAAAGACAGCTTTGTTTTCTTGCTGACTGTCAATAAAGTTAGTCAATACAGATGTTTACTTATGAAGTGTTGTTTTTTTTTTAAATATCTGGTTGCTACGGTGACTGGGGTGGTTTGCAAAACAAGTTGTCACAGCGGCAATTATTTTATCCTTTGTACTGACGGTCGCACAGCAAAAGAACGTAAAATGTCATAGAAGCCCAATTTCTGATTCCAAGGAGTGTGTCTCCCTAGATTATATTTTTTATTTTAGTGGCTATTTATCTTCATATGTGTCTTTATGTATCAAACAATTCAAATGCTTTTAGGCACAACACATGTTTTTGGTTTCACATTGATCACCTGTTGGTAAATGGATGATGGTGCTGCTGAACAACCTGCCCTCTGTACAGTATGTATTCATATCTTTGACTGTTTCAGGAAGTAGGACAGAAGCTAATAAGCAACCAGGTTATAATCTTCAGCACGCTCACAAAAACTACATACACACACACACACACACACACACACACACACACACAGCTTGTACTTCTATCTTTGTGAGGACAAACTTTGAAATGTAGCACTCCCAAGCCCATTACCCTAACTGTAACCATTACAACTAAATGCCTAACCTTAAACCTAACCCTTACCCTAACCTAAATCTATTCTCACACAGGCATTTGAGGGCCAGTCCCAAAGTGAGGACTGGCCAAAATGTCCTCACTTTTCCAAAAAGTCCTCCCTCTGAAGCTCTAAAACTCACATTGGTCCTCACAAAGATAGCTGTACAAGTGTACACACACATGCTTGAAATCCTGATTTTTAGGGGTGCCTTGAAACACACATTAGAGAGTTCGACATGCACGTCGTCCCTTAACCAAAACTGAACTGTGCCCTCTCTCATCTGTTGGGGCTATTCGTGACAGTGAACTCTGCAAGTTTGTAATGATTAGTGGCTTAGCATATGTTCAACCACAGAGAGCAGGCTCAGATACAAGAAATCACCTGATGTCGTAAACAATGGGAGGTTTTGGATCCAGTGTTTTGTGGAGCAAGACCTACATTTCAAACTAAAAGTAAGAATATCACGGCCTCTGTTACTTCAATTTAGACCATTCTTTGATTAATTTGTCCCGTGCGAGTCAGCTAATATCATGGAAGTCTAGTGCTAAATCACTGCAGTGCCTTTTTAAACTGGTATTTCATTAGGTGCTCACACTAAACGTCCACAGGACGTGAAGCTGGTGACAGAAAAAGGCAGCTGTTTTTTTGTCAGGACAGCGTCATGCAAATCGGGAACAATGGCGCTGCTGTGATCCTAATCCACCTCGTCCCTGTCTCTTTATCTTAGATCCCTGTGGCGGCCATTAAACTGTATTTTTATGAGAGGGAATAAGCTGCTATTTGCTCCCTTGTCTTTGATTTCCTGTATTAAAATGAGGCTGGATTCACAGATGGACACAAGATATAAAGGGACACGCAATCGCAGAGAATGTGTCGCCCTCAGTGATAACAGTTGGAGCGTTTCATTATTAGGAGCAGTGGAAGTAAAGCTACTATTCTAAGTTGTGAAAGATTGACATCACCGGAGGGGTACCAGTGTGTCAGTTACAGTTTGGTGACCTCGATCTGAGCTGCAAATTACAACACCACATTATACAAATTTATATTCAAATCAACCTTCTCTGAAAATGATGACACATGAAAACATGTTTAACGTGATTTACAAAGAAAAGACAGCTTCAATGCACTGATGATGAGCAAGAAAGGCAGAAAGAGGAAAGAGAGAAGTTCGCCCCTCATGTGACCAGCTGAGGTCACTAAAGCGCTGGGTGCACATGCCTCAGTCAAGCATCGCCATCTTGTGGTGAATTTGGTGAAGTGCAACTCAACCACCTGCTGGACTGATTTGAGCTTTAAAAAGCCTACGAATATTATGGAGTGGTCAGAGCATGCATGCATGTTTCTATATCACAATGGATCACATGACTACTTGTATGTTAAAGGTGTCACTCGTATTGATGAAACCATATAGAATGATCACAATCTTTTAATAAATTAATAGGGTTTAAAAAGTAACCCTCAGCTCTATGAAGCTTTAAGGTCTGGAAGGTTTAAGGTGTCTTTCAGCACATTGTTTTGCTTTTTCCACTCACAGTAGACAATCAAAGTTAGCAGCCAGCTGGTGTACGTAGTGGAGCATTTATCAGCTAAAGAGACAGATATTTCTTTTTCACCAACACATAGCTATAGGGAGAGGGAATTGGACTTACATTCATCAGGTGGCCTTCAAACAACCCAAGGAGTGCAATTAGGGGCAGAGTGTGCGCAGGTAGGTAGGTAGGCAAGTAGACAGCCATCCAATCATTTCACTCAAGCCGAATGATATGATTGAACGGAATTATTATAGTCCTTCCCACAGGGCTTTACAGGATGTCGCATCTGTTGATTTGACATCCTCCATCCTTGGACCCTCACATCGGAAAAGGAAGAACTGGGGGGAAAAGGGAAGAAACGGAGACAATATGTCAATGTAGTGTTTCCACTGCCCCATGTGGCCGAAAAAGAAGCTATCACTGGTTTGAATTACATTTAAAACTGAAGCAGATGCCTTATATTTTGTATCCATGTAAGTCGTAGTGGATGTGAGACGGGTTCAGTGTATGACTCGTGGTCTCCCCTCGGTCTCTTCCTCTCGTATTATACTCAACCGCCCCTCCACTCTCGCTTCCCTCCCCTCGTTACAGAAGGTGGCGACTTCAGGGAGCCAGTGATGAGGGCTATCCATCAACATACACACAGGCAGACACAGATATACTGTATAGGTTCACACATGAAATGTACTGTATGCACACACCTCTTCCTCTGACTTCATTCTGTCTGATGTTTATACATCGACAGATTTTAAATAAACAGTATACAGCCGACATTGTTACAGTCAAGTCAAATGAATGAGTAATTAGTTGCCTTACCTTTACAACATAATGCAAATTGAACAAATTCTGATATTAGCTGTGGAGGTTTACACTTTTTTTTAAGTTCCCAATATTTTCTTGTAAAAATGTTATATCAGAAGAAGACCCTGTCAATTATTTACAATATTTTAGGAGATGTAACATTATTTCACAAAAATGTAATTATTATTATTTGACAGGCTATGACGGTGATATTTCACAATATAATATAACATAGAATTGTATTGTTAAATGAATGCAAGGTGTGGCTATTACAGCCACGATTACCAGCTAGCTATTGTGAATTATAAATATTGTGAGCAGGAGTTTCCTTACATCCGGTCACGGCGAATTTCGAGCTGCCTCATCCCGACTGAATTAGTTATGTTAAGTGTTGAATTGTAAAATATTGTCAACTAAATATCTAATATTTAACTGCATCAACAAAATGGCGTTAGTTGTAGGTACTGTTGTCATATGTATATTTCGTAAATCACCAAAGTTCTACCAGAATGCTCGAACAAGCTTATAGTATTTACAAGGAAATGGAGAGAAAAGATTAACAGAGACACGACACCGACCATGCGCTTTCCGTATTTGCCTCCGACATGACGACTTCTCATGGCTGTTTTCATTTTGTTCTGAGGGCTGAAACCGCGCTGTGCTGCCAAACTGGAGACTGGACTCTCTGAATATGGGATGTCCCGATCCTAGAAGCACGCGCTTCACCGGGAGGAAATCCCACATCATGCACCAAGCGGCGCACCTTCTGGTGACTTGGAAAGCTAAGTCATATAACCTTGCATCTGCATGAGCTCATTGAAGGCCTTGATCCCTTCAGGGGAAGCCCTCCAAGTCTCCCATGCAATATCTTTTCCTCTCACATCCCGTTGGAACAATAGGAGAGTGACCCGGCAGTTGCAACTTCATTCACTTCAATTCAATTTATTTTTGCATTGCTCAAAATCACAAATTTGCCTCAGAGGGCTTTACAATCTGTACACATATGACATCCTCTGTCCCGGAACCCTGACATCAGAACAGGAAGAACTCCCCACAA